TGACTCATTCATGCATGTTTGAGAAATCCTGCAGCGTTTTTAGGAAGCCATGCTGAGGAGCAAAACGACAGGTGGAGACCAGAAACACCTTTTGGGACCAGAAACGCGTTTTGGGACCAGAAACGCCCCTGGGACGAGTCTAAGCCGAACTTCCTCATGGCAGGGCGCACCCCCCCCCTGTGGAAACCTTAGATGGAGACAAAGATGTTACTTTCTGGTGCAAAGTAATAAGATCCTAAATGATCCATATGTTAACACCCTCAATAAGTATTGACGTGTTCAATACTTATTTTACCCGCTGTATATGCCTGAGAAACACAATACTGCCTCTTTAAAAGTCCTATGGAATTGTTTTTTCTCTGGTAAAAATAGTCCACAAGCGATCAATATTGTTTCTTCCTCGTCGCAAATGTTTATTTACTCCGAACTCACGTCTCTGGAGGTCATGTGACATTTTTCCTCGGACATCTGAATTGTCACGAGATTTCAGTAAGTCTCGCGTGATGTAAAATCTGACACCTGAATGTTCATGAATGAAATATTTCGTGTGTGCTGTGTTGTCTCTTGCCGTGTGGCTGTACACCACACACTGTAGGAACAAACCTGGTATATCCAGGATTTTTTATCCTCACGTGTGGGCTCCCTCAGTCTTTGAAAATCGGCCGACTGGTTTAAAATCTTGTAGTGTGACTCAGCCTTAAGTGGAGATTTTATACAGTAAGATTTACTGACTAATCTGAACCGAGAGAATAGTCAGTGCTAGCATTAAAGCAACATACACTTTATTTAAAGACATTGATACACCTTTGAAGCCCTTATGGGCCACATAAAATGCCATGGAGGGCACGTTTGGCCCACGGGCCTTGAGTTTGAAAGTGCTAAAGGAGCTGTGCTCTTGGGGAACAATGCCTCATGGAGGCTTTATTCTAGGCCAGTGGGTCCCAAACTCCTTCTGCCAGCCCCCTGCCTGTGCCCCGGGTAGATCTGGTCCACCAAACCTGACAGATTTAACTTTAAATAAAGTCTGTTTAAAAAACAATCTCTTTACTACTGAACTAATTTGTTTCTCAAAGCTGAAATTTGAATCGAAAATCACCCCCATAGTTTTKACATAAGATTTAACAGATGGCTCTAAGGTACCTRGATCATTGGGAGAAGCACTGTGATTAACCCTGGGTCCAAAAAAATAACTATTTTCATTGAAATTTAAAATGTTAGAAGCCATTCAAGCTTTTACCTCACTGAGGCAGTCAAACAGTGGTTTTAATGAAGAACAATTACCATGCTTTAATTGAAAATAGATCTGGGTGTCATCTGCATAGGAATGAAAAAAGATGTTCATTTTTCTAAAAATAGAGTCTAAGGGGAGCATGTGTGTGGAAAATAAAATGGGACCAAGAATGGATCCCTGGGGAACTCCACATGTGAGGGGGGCTGAAGAAGAAACAGAATTTCCAGGGCTCACTGAGAAACTCCTGTCAGACAGATAAGACCTGAACCAATCCAGTGCAGCACCTCTRATACCACATTGGTCTAGAGAGTAAAATATTATGGTCAACTGTATCAAAGGCTGCTGTCWGGTCTAAAGGTTAAATTACAGCAGAGTCTAACTAGCTGAGTAAAAGTAATTAATTATTACCCACTGATTACCCACTATTACTCACCTGACCCGCATTAACTCCTCTCCTACAAAGTGACACTGTCCTGACTTCTACCTTTCCTAAAAAACTAAAATATTGTTTTCTTTTCTTCTTTTCTTTTAGAACTGTAGGACCTAAAATTAGCTAAATATTGATTATAATCACAAAATGAACATTTCTGCATTAGARTCAAGCAGAGCTGAGTCTCTGTTTTACACCCCCACAGATCAGCTCTTCAGCAGACCTGAGGGAACCCCTCTGCTTCTTCCAAACAACAAATGGAACTTTGGCCCTAAGAAAATAGCAGGTCCCAAACCCTCCAACATCTGCTTACTGACCATCAACCAGTACCTGTTAGGAAGAGGTGATAATATCACCTCCCACTTGTTCAGCTCTTTTAAAATGTATCCTGTGTTCTTATCGGTTTTTCATGTTTAAGAATCGTACTTTTAGCCCAAAATATTTCTTCATTTCATGATGTAACAGCTGTTTTCTTTATCTAARTAATGTTTTCTTGCCTATACTTGAGCAAATTAGGAAACTTTAGGACATTTGATCGTTAATGATACATGTCATGTGACAACTTTCCCTCTAATAAAACTAGTTAACTATAATCTACTAGTTAAATRGTTAAACAGCTAAACAACTCTTTGTATGTTTTGTCCTGAAGAATTTAAAATATCCCRTAAAGGTGTATTTTAATATGGTTTTAATTTTATTATTTTATTTATTTTGAGGCAAAATAGATCATTAACACTAAATCCCTCTAATTAATATACAAAAGATGTTTAAACTTAAACACTGCCACTTTCTTTGTCAGAGTTTAGAAAGACTAGACCTGGTGCTATTTAATGTAGGAACTCCGCCCCTTAGGAACTACAAAACTAAGGCACGCACAAAATAAAAGTTAGTGGTGTCTCGAGGTAATTAAAGTATACTTTTAATAATTCATATTTTACCCAATCTTAGACCCTAACCCCTACAGAACCTGGACAAAAATATAATCATTCAATCTAACAGAACAGTCCAATCTCCAACCTCCCTTATCTTTGTATAAATAATTAAATCACTTTTTATGTTAAACATTTTTATATGCTGATGACATTTCATTGTGAATAATGTTTTTTAATGACATTGTCAAATCAGTGAAGTCTTTTTCTATTTTATGTTTTACACAACCTCTTAATAAATTTGGGTTGTAATTGAAGCTCCTGGTTAGAAAAATGGGGAGCATCCCAACCTGTGATGAGCGAAACCAGGAACTGATTCCTCCATRGTATTTGATATTAATACAGTAGCTCTATGATCAGAGCTGAGGTCTTATAATCCTGCGGCTACAGGTTTGGAGTCAGGCTGGATCAGAAAGGACACCCTCAGTAAAACAAATCGTTTATGTGAGTTTGCTTTCTATTGTGACTGTAGGAGGAAGGAGCAAAAAGAAAAACAACTGTGCTCAGTTGTGGATGGAGGAGTTGGTCTCATGAACTGTGACCAACTGAGACGGAGGCTGAACTGTCTTCTTGTCCAMCGTTGACCTGTCACTCAGATGTTTTTTCTAGTTATGACTCACTGACTTGGACCTGGTTCTGGGTGTTACATTCAGTGACGTGCGGTCACTAGAGGCAGTGGAGGCAGAGCCTCCCCTTTTATCATGGAAATTAAAAAGAAAAAACAGTATTAAACACATTAAACTGTCATATTTATATAATGCTTTGTACTATAAACACATTTTCAATGAACTTAAACACTTTTAAATATTTTTCTTATTCAAAATCGCTGAATTTCCTCATATCCTGTTCAAATACAGGACGAGACGAACTATGAGGAAAAATCAAGTTCCGCCTCCAGATTGCGCAATCGTTTCAACCCCGCTCTGTCTCCACTTCTATTGCTCAATCCCTCCTGCACGTTATCCAGTGAGAGCAGAATTCATCTCTATATGTCGCCAGTAAAACGTTTCTAACATTTTTAAATATGCACCTGACTTTCCACCGTTTAGTTGATGTTTATTATAGAAATATGTGTTTGTGACGGTAGGGGGCGCTTGTGAGCACGGAAATTCTTATTGTTACTCCTTAGAGCTGCAGAGGAAGAAAGCTAACTACAATCTCGTAATTATTTAGCAAGTGCAGCCACAGCTATCCATTTCTACTTTTCACCAAGCATTTTAAAATGGAGGCTTATAC